TTGTAGGGGATGGTAGGGTTCTACCATGAGAACATCGAAGGGGATGGTAGGGTTTTATCATGAGCACATTGAAGGGGAGGGTAGGGTTTTACCATGAGAACATTTAAGGGGAGGGTAGGGTTTTACCATGAGAAAATTGTAGGGGATGGTAGGGTTCTACCATGAGAACATTGAAGGGGAGGGTAGGGTTTTACCATGAGAAAATTGTAGCAAACGATGGGGTTTTACCATGAGCACATTGTAGGGGACGTAGGTTGTTATTGGTGAAGTTTTACAAAGATCCTTTGATGATGGAGGATGTTGGTTAACAATGGGTGGGGCGAACGGTTTGGCTTAGCTTAGAGATTTACGCTGGTCTTTATTCTACAAATCAGAGCTCTTTCTCCAGTAGCAAGTGATGTAATTTGGAACTTTTTTAATGTGGACGTGCATATAAGATATTTTAATGACCTTGACCTTGAATTTGCAGCCATGAAAGTAAGTGCGGCGTCCCCACACAGGATATAGGTAGGTATGTGACAAGTGCCATCTTCCTGCTCATAAGGATGCACTTCATAGCTCAATGAACTCCACCATTTATTCCTAGGCCTTAATTCCATAGGAAATGTAGGTAATTAGTTTTTGCCGCTTCCCTAGCTGCTTGATAAGAGGTTAGACTTCTGAAAAACTGAATTACAATACCTTTAGTAACTATGTTGGAAATAAACATCAGTTTATACATATATTTTTTATCAGAAAAACTTTCCCCCTACTTTACACAAATTTTACAAATTTGCATTCTACAAATGTTCATCAATACCTTTAAACCATAACCTTTGTCTATCACATCAGGTATGTATTACATGGTATTCTCTATAACAGGTGTATGCTCCATACAGGTGTTGTCTATTACATTAGCTATGTATTACATGGTATTCTCTATAACAGGTGTATGCTCCATACAGGTGTTGTCTATTACATTACCTATGTATTACATGGTATTCTCTATAACAGGTGTATACTCCATACAGGTGTTGTCTATCACATTAGCTATGTATTACATGGTATTCTCTATAACAGGTGTATACTCCATACAGGTGTTGTCTATTACATTAGCTATGTATTACATGGTATTCTCTATAACAGGTGTATACTCCATACAGGTGTTGTCTATTACATTAGCTATGTATTACATGGTATTCTCTATAACAGGTGTATACTCCATACAGGTGTTGTCTATTACATTAGCTATGTATTACATGGTATTCTCTATAACAGGTGTATACTCCATACAGGTGTTGTCTATTACATTAGCTATGTATTACATGGTATTCTCTATAACAGGTGTATACTCCATACAGGTGTTGTCTATTACATTAGCTATGTATTACATGGTATTCTCTATAACAGGTGTATACTCCATACAGGTGTTGTCTATTACATTAGCTATGTATTACATGGTATTCTCTATAACAGGTGTATACTCCATACAGGTGTTGTCTATTACATTAGCTATGTATTACATGGTATTCTCTATAACAGGTGTATACTCCATACAGGTGTTGTCTATCACATTAGCTATGTATTACATGGTATTCTCTATAACAGGTGTATACTCCATACAGGTGTTGTCTATAACCTTTGTCTGACACATTAGGTGTGTATAACATGGTAATATCTGTAACAGGTATATAGTCCAAACCAAGTTCTCAGTACAGGTAATAGATATATTAAGTTACCAGTCCTAGACAGTATAGGTATCAGGTATATATATAGGTTACAGTCTGAGTAGACAGTATAGGTATCAGGAATATATAGGTTACAGTATGAGTAGACAGTATAGGTATCAGTTATATATAGGGTACAGTCGGAGTAGACAGTATAGGTATCAGGTATATATTGGTTTTAGTCTGAGTAGACAGTATAGGTATCCGGTATATATAGGTTACAGTCTGATTAGGCAGTATAGGTATCAGGTATATATTGGTTTTAGTCTGAGTAGACAGTATAGGTATCCGGTATATATAGGTTACAGTCTGAGACAGTATAGGTAACAGGTATATATAGGTTACAGTCTCAGTAGACAGTATAGGTATCAGGTACATAAAGGTTACAGTCTGAGTAGACAGTAGAGGTATCAGGTATATATAGGTTACATTCTGATTAGACAGTATAGGTATCGGGTATATATAGGTACCAGTCTGAGTGGACAGTATAGTTATCAGGTATATATAGGTTACAGTCTCAGTAGACAGTATAGGTATCAGGTACATAAAGGTTACAGTCTGAGTAGACAGTAATAGATATATTAAGTTACCAGTCCTAGACAGTATATGTATCAGGTATATATATAGGTTACAGTCTGATTAGGCAGTATAGGTATCAGGTATATATAGATTACAGTCTAAGTAGAAAGTATAGGTATCAGATATATATAGGTTACAGTCTGAGTGGACAGTATAGGTATCAGGTATATCTAGGTTACAGTCTGAAACAGTATAGGTATCAGGTATATATAGATTACAGTCTAAGTAGACAGTATAGGTATCAGGTACATAAAGGTTACAGTCTGAGTAGACAGTATATGTATCAGGTATATATAGGTTACAGTCTGAGACAGTATAGGTATCAGGTATATATAGGTTACAGTCTGAAACAGTATAGGTATCAGGTATATATAGGTTACAGTCTGATTAGACAGTATAGGTATCAGGTATATATAGGTTACAGTCTGAGTAGACAGTATAGGTATCAGGTATATATAGGTTCACTGGGTGGACTAGTGACCGACTTTTGTAGTGTGTATGTTTCATGATACACAGCTAGATTTCTCCACCAGCCCTGACGAGTCTGATCCACCAGCCCTGACGAGTCTGATCCACCAGCCCTGACGAGTGATCCACCAGCCCTGACGAGTCTGATCCACCAGCACTGATGAGTCTGATCCACCAGCCCTGACGAGTCCGATCCACCAGCCCTGACAAGTGTCTGACTCCACCAGCCCTGACAAGTGTCCGACTCCACTAGCCCTGACAAGTGTCAGACTCCACCAGCCCTGACAAGTGTCCGACTCCACCAGCACTGACAAGTGTCCGACTCCACTAGCCCTGACAAGTATCCGACTCCACCAGCCCTGACAAGTGTCCGACTCCACCAGCCCTGACAAGTGTCCGATTCCACCAGCCCTGACAAGTGTCTGACTCCACCAGCCCTGACAAGTGTCAGACTCCACCAGCCCTGACAAGTGTCAGACTCCACCAGCCCTGACAAGTGTC